TAAGCAGTGGTAACCTGTTTCAAAAAAATTAAATTATTACTGCACTAAAAGACACCAAAACCCCACACATTTTATATAAATTATGAAACAATGAGTAAAAAGCAATTAATTTAAAACTAACTAGGTTAGTATACAGGGAGGAAAGGAAAGGAAAAACATCTTAGAGGAAAGGATGTTTAAGGTATCCTGAGAGTCACAAAGTCTGAGTAAAGGAAGATGGAGAGGAAAAAAATTCTATGAATTTGTAAGAGTAATACAAATACACAGTGGCAACTGATGACTTATGTTTATCAAGGAAAAAAAGATCCATGTGTTCTATGGCTTGATGAACATGAAATTGAAAACATAGACAAGGAATAGTTTGTCTTGAAAGCTATAAAAAAATCAGTTTTACTCCAAATGAATCTGCTGGATAGTTTCAAGCAGTGGAGTGATATAATCAGGTTTATATTTATCAGTCAATGAACTTGTGCAGATGCTCCTATCAATTCACCTTAAAACCCTTAGGTTACATAACTGCTATTATAGTATTTGGGTTGTTGTTATTAAGAATAGCTGACCTAGAGATGAGATAATTCATAAGAAAGTCAGAAGGCTGTGTTGCAAGAAAGCATGCACTTTGTTTGACACAAAGATTAGAGCTATAGGTAGAAACTTTGGAATAAATGTTTTGTTAATAGAGATGTTCAAAGATGAAACTGACTACTTGTTATAGGATTAGGTTAGAACACTGGTTGGTTACATTTTGCAGATAGGATTTAAGTGTTGATCAATGGTTACAGAATTTGAATTTCTAAGATTTCTTTTAACTTAAGGATTCTATCACTTTTACATATTGAGAGCATATTGATATAAATTCATGATGCTGATAATAATTGCAATTTTTCCTCTGGCAAAGGCCCACTGGGAAATGGTCATGTAAAAGATTCTGAACATTCCATATCTGAGAGTCTTCAAAATTCATTTATTTTTGTTTTTAATTACAGCACCCTATGTAACAAGGATAGTGTATTGTAGCCGACATTTGTAATTGGGGAAGGACAGGGCATGCATGTATTTCAAGTCTTGGAGTTGGGGAAATGTGTTAGCTGGAGAGATCCTTAGTGGTAATTCTGATCCACCCTCATCTCCTGGAGGCAGGCACCATCCTTCCAGCTGAGGACCATTTCACTGGTTCTCAATCCATGAAGGCATGTGTCTGCAACTTTTAATGTGCTCTGTATATCTGTAAGAATTCAAAGAAGAATCTTCATACCATCATACTGTTATCCTTTTCTATTTGTTTAAATTCTGTATCTCAAAATCTGTTTTTATAGTTAGAAGAAAACTGAGATTTACTATTTGTCTATAAAGACACAATGTCTTTGAAATACAAATTTTTTATTCATTTATTCACATGTGCATACATTGTTTGGGTCATTTCTCCTCCTGCACCCCAACCTTTCTCCCAGCCCCCCTTGCTTCCAGGCAGAATCTGTTCTGCCCTTGTCTCTAGTTTTGTTGAAGAGAAGACATAAGCATAATAAGGAAGATGAAGCGTTTTTGCTAGTTGAGTTAAGGATAGCTATACAAAGAGATTCCTAACATTGCTTTCATGTACAAATGTGTGACAACCCAAGTTGCTCATCTCTAACTGATCTTTACACTGGTTCCTGATCCCTTCTCATATTGGCCTCTGTCGCTTTAAGGTTTCTGTATTAGTTCCTCTGCAGTGGGGACATCAAACACTTTCATGTTTTGGGTTTCTATATATCCCCTTACCTCCCTTATGTGCTCTCTCCTTGTCATGTGACCCAAATCCAATAACATTGCTGTATTTGCCCTAGATCTGAAGTCTGCATATGAGGGAGAACATACAATTTTTGGTCTTGTGAACCTGGCTAACCTCACTCAGACTGATGTTCTTCAGTTCCATCCATTTACTTGTAAATGATAAGGTTTCATTCTTCTTCATGGCTGCGTAAAATTCCATTGTGTATAAATACTACATTTTCTTGATCCATTTGTCAGTAGTGGGGCATCTTGGTTGTTTCCATAACTTGGCTATTGTGAATAGTGCTGCAATAAATATGGTTGTGTTGGTGCCTTTGGAGTAACCTTTGTAAGCATTTAAAAATTAAGGGTTTAGATAGCAATTATGTTCTCTATAGCTACAAAAGCTAGAAGAAAGGATATTGAAAATTTTCAACATGAAGAAATGATAAAATAATTGAGGAGATAGATATGTTTAATGTGATTTAAATATTACACAGTGCACATGTGCATCCAGACACCATGTGGCACCATGTTATCATGTGTAATTTTGTTTTTATGTATTAGTTTGACAATATAGTAAGTATTCTTATGCAAGGAGAAGGTACACATGGAGTGGGAAAATTGCATGTTGGAAGTCAGGATTTGAGTTCTGGTTTTTCTCTTTAGAAATGGTCAAGACATTTCACTGGACTCTGTTTCCTCATCTATAAAATGAGAGTTGCTGATTCAGAATGTTGCTCTGATACTTTAAGCAATGCGTGCAGTCCCATCTTTCTAAACTGTGAAACAATACACAATTTCTTAATGACAAATCAGAAATAATGTATGGTGTAGGTATCTTCTATTAATGTAGAATTATGAATTCACAAGTCTGTTTTGATCCAAAACAGAAGACTTTATTATAGAGTATCAAGTTTATGTCTTCTCTTAGTTTTGAGAGCTCAGTTCTATAACAATGATGAGAATTTCTAAGAGTTACAAGAACAACCATTGGCAATACTAGTCAGGACCTCAGGTGCTTTTTAGATGGATTGGAAATTCCTACAAAATACACTGTTTTCATTCAATGTATCTTGTTGCTAAATACTCATGTAGAACATGGAGTAACTATAGGAAAGATTATTTTGTTAGACATTATATCACTAGCAACTTTTCTGAAACCAACATAAAAATCATCATATTTTTAATTGACAAAGTTAATCAGAAAATGTTCCTCTTTATAGTTACACTTCTATGCACCTTAAGTTAATACTTGCTCTAAATTACAGATATGGCCCATAAGAAAGCCCTAATAGGTAAATATGACAAATTAGCAGCCTTGAAGTCATCACAATTAGTTTGCTTTCATATTAACAGAAAACAAGGTACTCATCACACATTCAACCAATATCTGTTGAGCTCCTAGTAGATATAATAAATAGCTAACATGAAAGGTGCTTTCCGTGTGCCAGGTTTAAGTACATTATTTGTATTACTACTTTTAAATCCCACACTCATTCTGTTGAGATAGCTATTACTAGCATAATTTTGTTAACAAAGAAATTGGGACCAAGAGAATTTAAGTACATTGCCCGTCCTTCCAATTAAAGAAAGAGGCTATATAATGCTGGAGGGCGGCTCATGGTGGAGCACCTGCCTAGCAAGCGTGAGGCCCTGAGTTCAAACTCTATTACTGTAAATAAATAAATAACTCTATATATTTAAAACCTTGTGGTTTTGCTCCTGTGTCTGTGCTCTTAACCACTTGGTTACACTACTGTGAATGTGGATATAATACCAACTAAAGGAGACAATATCTTTTCATCAAAAAAGACAACAATACAAGATTTAAGCAAATGCTGAATCACTTGAATTTCAAGAAGAAAGTGATCATAGTGTTTGACTTAGTATTAGAAAGCTTCAAATAAGGGGAATGCATTAGAATTTCTTTAATATTTGTAACATAGTGAATAAGAAATTTAAGTTATAATATTCAGACAGAAAAGTGACCACCATAATTAAAGGATAGAGCTGGGGTAGTCAGGTTTAGTTGACATGATTGGTACATACATAGGTATTACTTTTTGTCATTCCAAGGTCTATAAGAGAGAACTATTATTAGTCTTTATAATAAAGTAAAGCTGAGTTAGTCTTTTAGCTAAAGTTAGATATAAAATACACCCAATTATAATAGTCTTAAGTGCAAGCCTAAAAAAAATGTTTTTGTCCCAAAAACAACAGAATGTCACAGCTAGTCTTGAGCAGATAGAGCCAATTATAATACTTTGGAAACCTGTAACTGACTGTGGTAAGCATGAGAGAGAGAGAGAGAGAGGCAATGTGAACCATCAGTAGCCATTGCAAAAATATGAATTTGGAATTTTAAAAACATTTAGTGAAGAGTAAGAGGAAAGATCACATATGAAAATTAAAAATTAATACTTCATTACTTTGTTAATGTAAATGTAACTTTTTAGAATCTAACAAGAATATGTTCTTATTCAAGTGTTCTCCCCTAATCATGCTAGTTATTTTAGAACTTTTGAACCTATCTTTTAGTCTACAAGTTTAAAAAATGGAACTTCAACAATAAATATGAAAGAGACAAGGATGTCCATTTCCAAAAAACACTTCAATTCTTGATATTTTAACAGTTAATATTGTTAATTTAAAATATCACAGCCCTTCATTCCTTTAATTAATCTTCATTTTATAAATTTCGCTACAAACAAGACAACAATTTTCTCCTTTAATATACTTTAGCTTCCTTATATTCAAGATGCTGAAAAATAAATAATATGAGCCAGAGGTATGGCTCAAGAGGTAGAGTGCTTGCTTAACATGCACAGAGTCTGGGTTCAATCTCCAGAATCACACACAAAAAATCATTGAACACAGTGTAACTTACAAAAATAAAATATTTCCTGATAAAAACTACAATGTATCCTCTTTTCCTTACTAGTGATGTAGTACCAAAGAAAGACCAAAGTGTTAACCATGCTTCTGACAGTTTTAAAGTAACATGAACAGTACTCATATAAAATGAATAGGTTACTGATAGTCAAACAGCTAGAAATCAGGTACAAAATTTAATAATCTTGTCAGCAATAACTATAATTCAAACAATTGTACTTTGTGGCTGAATGTTGTGTATATGTTTTGCTTTAGGTAAGCTATAATAAATGAAGAAAAATGAAGATAAATATTTATTTTTATTATGTAAATGACCAATGCTATTTAATAAAGTCAGTTCCTATTCTATACAGGTATGATATAAAAGATGATTACACACTGAGAATTAAAAAGGCCATGAGTACAGATGAAGGTACCTATCTGTGTATTGCTGAGAATCGGGTGGGAAAAGTGGAAGCCTCTGCTACCCTCACAGTCCGAGGTAAGAGACTTAAGATATCAAATATAATTGAACCAGGAGAAAGTTTTTTAAAAGTGGTAAGTGAACTCACAGCAAAATCCTAAGAACCAGGCATAGTGTCACACACTTATAATCCCAGCACTGGGAGGCTAAAGCTAGAGGATTGTGAGTTTAGGTCAGCCTGGGTTACATAGAGTGACTCTGTCTCAAAACAATAGATTACATTGATTTATTATCATTAAATGCCTAGATTTTGTGCTCTCCTTATTACTAATTGAAATGAAATTACATTCAAACTTGTGTTACAAATAATGACCTTTTAAAAGAATTATTTAGCAAACAATAGTTTGGATGGATTAGGTTGAAAAGCTTATATGGCTTAAAAGTAAACCTTAAAAATAGAAAATATCTATACTAGTCATTTCCATTTCTACTGCTTTCAACTACTACTGATTTTAAATGTCAACAGTGTCAAAGATAGTGTAATGTTCTGTTTACCAGTTTGTAACTTGAAGTTCTTTTTTATTTCAGCATTCAAAAAAAAAGTCTGAAAAAAATTAAACATGCTTCCAAAGATGGAAAATGGAAAGCATAGTAGTTCTAGCATCCTGATAATCAGAAGTTCATTGATCTTATATAATAGAAATAATTGGTGAGGGTTTGGGTGTTATGCACTTTCTCTGTCATGGGATAATATTTGTTTATACACTCTTTGGAATTGTTTATAAGTGAAAGAAAGCATTACTAAGCACCATAGGTCAGTAGAATGAATTAACTGACTTCCTGGTGGAAGATTTCCTCATTACAGGAGGTAAATGATAAAGTTCAAGGTAGTAAGGAGTACCATGTAGATGGTGAACATTTACCCATTTCACATAGACATTGCCATGGTCTTGTTTACACTCACCTCACTTTAAACAGCAATAGATATGCTCATCTCCTGCCCATTCGTTCACGTTTTCCCACTACTGCTGTGACTCTTCCTCTCATCCTTCCAGATAAGAAGGATGGCTGCAAGAGTTCATCATCTCTCAGTTACTTCATGCCCTGTTTAGTCATGCCTTTTCCCCTTTTGCTTCTTTGCTCCCAGAAGTGTGAAGAGTCATTTGTTTGGTGTGTGTGTGTGAGATTAGAAGGGTTTAGGAGAGAGTTGAGTTGCAAGACGTGCAAGGATTCTAAGGTTGTTCCTCCATCTCCTATGAAAAAATGATTTTTACCAGACCTACCATTTAGGCTCCAATTCACCAGTCGGAAACAGGAAAATATTGGTGCTTTCTATCTTTCTATACTTCGCAGTTTCTTCATTCCTATTCTAATTGATCTGTTATTATTATTTTGTTGATTCTCCAACCATTCTAGTGTGAATTCAGATCAAAATAAATTTAAATAAAACTGACAAGATAGTTGCTTAAAAACTTTCTTACTCTTCATTAGGTCAAAAAGGGCTATGATCATATATGAACCTATGCATACTATCTGATCAAAATCTAGTAACTCCTGTAAACTAATGAACTCTCTCCATTAGAACCCACATGTTCTGTTTTTAACTAGGTAGTCCTTTGCAAAAACAATTCACTTGGTCAAATCATCTCCAAACTGTGTGTCTCTGTGTGTGTGTGTGTGTGTGTGTGTGTGTGTTTGTGTGTGTGTGTGTTTTCTGAAGTGAATGGAAAAAATCATAAACAACCAGCCAAGGAATGTTCCATTCAAAGAATATTTGCTGACTAAACAAATGGTGAGAAAGTGTGAGGAGTTGTTTGTTTGTAAAAGCAGCAGGGTTCTTTTTACACTTCAGTGCTTGGAAGAATGAGACCTGAAATGATCTGTTTGGCTTAAGATCTTTCCCAGCTAACTGTTTTCATAACTTGTTGAAAGTTTCAAGTTTAACATTTTCTTTAACAAAGCATGCTTCTCCTGCATGCATGTTTAAAACTAACTCACAAAACTAATATAAAACATTGTTTGTTTTCAATAGGATTTTTAGAGGAGAAATCTGAAACCTTAAATGGTTTCTCCCTTAATCTGTACCCTGCAGATGAATTAGAGTGTTTTGTTGTGATATGAATTTACCACTCGTTATATGACTGAAACCTCAAAATCAGGGTTAAGGAACAAAATCTCTATAACATAATGTAATGTGGAGTAAAATATTATTTTAAAACATTTTTTATTATTAGGAAAAGCAGCTGAGATTTCTCGTTTTAAGAGGTTAAGAGGGAAAAAAAACCTTCAGTTTTTTCCTGTGCTCATTTTTCTATGCACATAAATGTAATGTTTAGCCTTTCTCTACATTTTATTAGAAGGGGGTCAAGTGACCCAAGAGGCCATCTCCATTTTCATCCATTTAATGAGGGGCACAGTTTAGTTTAATTTGCTGATTTTGAAAACATCCACCTGCTGTGTTTTATTTTATTTTTGGTTGCTGTTCCCACAGTGGAATATTTCTATGTCATGAGGACAAGAAGTTTTACTGTGATGTTTCCACTAAAATTGTATCATGATGTTCGCATTAGCCAATTGGGGAAATTTTAAGGGAGTTTTATAATCAACTTTTGCGACAGAGCTCTCATTAGTTGTTTTCCATTTCAAAAATATGGTAAAAGATGGTAATGCTTACCATCAAATAGTTTTCTTTGCTGAGTTGGCAAACATAAAATTAGGAAGAAATAAATTGAGTCAACAATAAACCTCCCTGCATTTACAGTCTAATGAAATAATTCATTATCCAATAAAGTTTTTTTTAATGTCTTGGAAATGACTTAAATAACATGAACTGCATCTTTGTAAACACAATTTCCCCCCATTTTTCAATTTCCTCACTGGAATTCACTGGAAAATCTTTCTTTTAAGCCAATAAAGTTTTAATTTTTACAATAATTATAGATTAAAATTAAAGAAACATATTTCACTTGTTTCAAAATAATTTCTCACCACAGTTTCCCCTTTCATGTTTTTAATATCATAGACTTAGAATATTTTTTACTTCTTAAAGAAGCATGTTTGAAATCCAGCTTGATATGGCATCTAAAATTGCACAAATTCAGAGATGAAAAGCAAAGTTCTTTTTCTACTGGGCCTGCACAATTTTGAGAGAAATCTCATCACTTGGAATAAAACATGACATTATGATGTTAGTTTGATGTCTTGTTCTTGGCTCTTATTCTTGTGGCCTGCTAAGAATTCATGGTACATTGGGCAATTTCTTTTTCCTCTTGTGATAGCAAGCCCACCATATACTTTAGGACACAACAGAATTTTCATACCAACTACTTCAATTGCTTTCTTCTTCTTTCTGTTCTCCTAATTGTGAATAATACTACTGCAAATGGCCATGGTCCTCCTATACAGACAAATATACTGTTACTTTTAGAATAATACAGAGCTAGTATTGTGACACATTTGTTGAATGAATGAATCACTGTAATCATGTTTTCAATGCTATATCTACCCTCACCAGGCCCAAAGATCCATCATCAACAAAAACCTATCCTTTCATGTACTAGAGTCACATTATTACGTACTAGGGCTATATCCATTGGAATATGTGTTATGTGACAGATTTGTTTGTTAAAAAAGTTTATATTTTGAATGTAAGATTTCATAAAAATTCAAATGCTACTAAACATATATTTAAATATAGATTTGGATAAAGGGAATGTGTGTTTCATTATAATATTCATCCATTGCTTTTAGATAAAGTTTACTATTTAAATTGATTAATAATTATTTTTTGAAGACAGTATTATTAAGTCCATGATTTTGGTGATTGAACTTTATGGTATAATAAAAAAATAATAATTTGTTGGAATAGCAGTTTGAAAGCCGTTCTCAGTGTGAATAAGAATCAACTTGTCAGTCATTGTTTCATGGCCCCTGCCAAAAGGAGAAAAAAGCTTAACAGTAGTTAGGGAGTGACTGAGTTAAAATCTCTAAGGATGCTCCAACCTATTTGTTATATTTTCATCCACTCTGTCCACGGATGAAAAGTGATGTGATCTTAACTTATTACTGACTGAAAAGCAGCATCAGGGGCTTTCGGTAGTCCTTGTAATGGTTCTGACTAACCATGCTTAAAATCCAATTGCTATTTAAATCAGACAGTGAGGCCTTCTTTTATTGACATGACATTTGCTAGTCTGTGACTTGAATAGTTATATTCAGCTGGTTCTTAACTTTGGAGTAGCACAGGCTGTTTAACTCAAGGTCTTTGAAATAATAACTACAGTAAGTGATGATGATATGATGTTACCTAAAATACCTCTTAAATTGCTTGCCATTAGTCCTGAGATGCAAAATAATTATTTTCTTAGGATTTTATATTTGTAACTTTCAGTTTTATTAGACTCAGACATCCTGCTCATGGTTAAATTATGAGACTAGAAATCATCCTATTGTCCATACTTAAATGTAGCATTACTCATCATGCATTCTGATAATTTTCTTTTCTTTCTTTTTTTTAATTTCTTTTTATGTTCTCACCACACCATTGTAATGTCTACAGCTCGCCCTGTTGGTAAGTAGCCATCCTTCTATCCATTTAGCATGGCTTTGGATAATGCTTCATAATTCATGCACACTAGCATTTGTCAGAAGTAAATATATTTACTCACTCATGTTAAAATATTACTTGGGACTGTCTCTGTAAAGTTGCTTCTGACTTTCATCATTTTGAGAAACCATTTTTGTAATGACTTTTGCTGAATAACAATGCAGGTACCAAGTTTCATGTGAAAGAATATGGGAATTACTAATGTTATAAACTGCTAACTTTTCTGAAGGAGAAACATATACTTCTCTTTTTCCTGGAATGTATAAATAATCAGTTATTAGTTATAGCTGAAATTAATTAACAGAAAAGGTTATAGCTGAAATTAATTAACAGAAAAGGTTATGAACTAAAATTAAGAAGTTTGATTACTTTATTTAGTTCTTTTATCTTAATCTACTCAAACTCTCATCTCTTTTGGACTATTTTTTACTTGCTACACACTTGCTATTTGCATGTCTATTTAAACAAAATTTAGTAAAATGCCTTAACTTATTGTAAGTAGATTCTCACCCTTAATGTGGAAGTGGGGAAAGTTGTGTTCTTTGCATGAAAAAATAGTGTTTATGGTTTTAATATCTCATTTTTCATTTGGTTTTGCAAAATTAAAGCAATAGCTTGTACTTGCAGAAATTTAAGTGGCAATTATTTGTAAATTCTTATATGACAAAATATTTTCAAATTCATTAACTTAATCTTTCTGCATCTCATTTAAAGTTTAGTTTCACCCATCAATAAACATCTTTAATAAAAGAAATCTTAGTAATTTTGTTATAAGCTAATGTATAGATAGATACATTAGTGGCTAGATGAAAGAATACGATCAGAACATTGCTACTTTTTTCTTGGTATAGTAAGAGATACTATAATAATTTATTCAGTTTCCAGGGATTTATAAGTCATCCATGTAGCTTCAAAAGCTTTATATATAATGCATTCTTATTCAGATATGAATACAGTCAATAGAACTGGTTTCCGAATCTGAATTTATGATATGCAGCTTCTGATCAATGTTCCCTTAATATCAATCACTTCAGATAAAGTATCAGTATTTTAATTCTCAGTCATCTCTTCTATAAAACGGAGATAATAAAACTGGCTTATCAAAGCCGTTGAAGGCATGGATTTACACGCAATGGATCATGTATGTGAAGTGTCCTGCATACCAACATTGGATGATGTATCCCTAATTTCTGAGACATGTATTACTTGTCATTTTGGTATTTTATCTGAAGTATGGCTTATAATTAATCAAAATATAAATGGAAAATTCTTTTCCTTCAATCACAATTATTAAATCAATCATGCATTTCATAATTCGTGTTATTTGAAAGTTTAGAACTATGTTATAGTAATTTTTATTGCTCATTTCCTATACCTATAAGAGTAAGGATTTCTTCTTTTGTGGTACTGGGGTTTTGAACTCAGGGCCCATGCTTGCTAAGCAGTGCTCTACTACTTGAGCCATGACCCTAGTGCCCCTCTTGGGTTTTTTTTGTTTTTGTTTTAGTTATTTTTCAGGTAGTGTCTTCTCTCTCTCTCTCTCTCTCTCTCTCTCTCTCTCTCTCTCTGTCTCTCTCTCTGTCTCTCCCTCTCCATCTCCATCTCCCTCTCCCTCTCTTTTTCTTTGCACAAGGGCCAACCTTAGAAGGGATCCCCCTAACTCAGCCTCCCCATTTAGCTGGGACCACAGGTGTGTACCACCATACCCGGCTTATTGAATGAGCTAGGGTACAGCTTACTTGTCCTTAAACCATGATCCTCATTATTTTCATCGGAGTAACTGTGATTACAGGGCTGATCAACTGTGTCTGGGCAAGAATTCCTTTAATAATAATTTTATATTACAATGGGATGACGTGAAAATAGGAAGAGAATGGTGAAGAATGAGGAGACATAAAAATAGGCAAAGAGAGAATGGATGGTAGGCAACACAGCCACTCTGTTAGATTTCTTTCCCTCAACATCTTGTAACTAGGTTTCAGGTCTAAGAACTTTACTCATTATACATAAAAAATGAAAGTATTTTCCTATGTGTGCTCATTATATAGTAAAACATAATAGATGGAGAGATTTATATATAAGCTATGTATAATAAAATTGTGGATTATATATAATAAAATGTATTAATTAAAGAGACATAATCTGACATTTTTTGGAATTCTTCACAACTAAGCAATAAAAAAATTCACAACTTTATTTTGAATTTATTTAATGGTACTAAACTTGTGTATTTTATAGCAAATACTGAATAAACAGATGATTGAGTGAGAACAATTATCCATAAGAGGATGTCATTCAGTGCTCCCAAATTCAGTTTGGTTTAGCACTGGCAGGAGTTGCAATTATAAAATAATCATTTTTCAAATGAACAGAAAAAAAATCACATTTAAATTACTGAACTTTATATATAGAAACCTTATGCTAACCACTTGATTTACATTAGTTCACAACTTCAGAACAAAAAGCAATGTGTTAATAACTTCCAACATATTTATAATCTTTAAACACAGAAAAAATACATTGATTAAAACAATGTGATATATGCAGATGCATCTGTCACTGGCAAGGCATTTCAAAGTTACTTCCATTTTTTATTCTTGTTTGAAATGATTCCCATTGGAATGGAAAGAAAGAATAGCTTCTTGACACATTACAGTTTATTCTGTAATGTGTCATTTCATAACTCTATCTTGAATGACTTATGACAGTGTTCAGAAGTATGAAAAACTATACTTTAAACATGACAACTGCTATTAATTTTGGAAACTGAATGTTAGCCACATTTTTATTGGAGTACCAAAGAAGAGACTGATAATGAAGAAATTAACATAGGTTTCCTCAAATCAATTTAAATCCAGCACTATAGAGATTGGACCTTTTGTTGCAGGGCTAAAAGGTACATGTCAAGTAAATCAATTAATTAAATATTCAAAGCAGTGGAAAACTACAATGTATTCAAATGTGTTAGTAGACTAAAATACAAGTTTTTGCGGTTTGAAGCTGTTAGAGACAGCATAGAGAGTATTGTACAAAAAGAGGAGAGAAAAAAACAACTTTTAATTTCAATAAAAATTAGGTAAAGAAATTTGTACTAAGTATATAAAGTCTAGAGAAAAATCAAAGGGTAGCTCTTGTCCAAAGTTTTTAAAAGAGAATTAGAAATCAATGCAGCTTCTATAAATACAGATTGAGAAAACAATCACTACATGACATCAGGTGAAACTTCTTGGTAGTCTGTGTGGAAAGCCCCACTTAAGTCATTATAAATGCCAAACTGGATGACATTTAGGAGCTGCAAATGAGTTAAAGAAGTTGCACTCTCTATGAATCATAGTTGGAGTTGCATACCTTCTCTACTGTACTGTTGGGATTCTGGGAAAACCTAATCCACAGAATTCCTAATGTGGAAAACATTACTGAAAGCAGTCAATTGCATACCTGCCAATGGATTAAAGTATTTTGTAGATTACACTTATTCATCTGTAATTTCACCAATGTCTCAAAAAAACCCTTTTAATGCAATTTTTGTATTTGCACTTACCACAAAATGTAAACCAATGCTACTATGATCATTAAAAATTCACCAAGCCTTCCTGTGGTTTCAACTTGTTACTATTCCAGAGGCATTCTTTATATGAAAGCAAAAATACATCCTAGGAAAACTAGAATGTAAACTAGTTTACACCCTAGTAAACTATGCATGTCCAAATATTCATTTGTTTATTTGAAAACTTCTGATGAGAGAACTGATGACAAGAAAATGGCCTAAATAGGGAAAAATATCTTACTTCCTGTCCCCATCTGTCTTATTTTTCTGTTGGAAGACTTTCTCATCTTAAAAATAAAAAAGAACATCTATTTTGGAGATGGGCAACACATTTTTTCCTAGCAGCAACTCAAAACATGATGAGTAATTTGGAAAAGAACTGTCAAACCTACCAGCTGCCTTGCTTGTGAAGCTGAGCTCTGCTCGCTTTGTATCTTGTACACCATATGCTAGCTGCTGATTGCCTCAAGTAAAGAAACTAAAAGCTGGATGTATCAGGTGAAATGTTTAAATATCAAAACAAACTGGCAATACACAATTTTATGAAAACTTCTAAGTATTTCCAATTCAGTGGCACAAAAGTGTGTTTCCTTTTGCTAGAAGAGTATATAATTAGTCATGCTCTGTATGTCCTTGGCAAAATTCCATCACATTTTGAAATTCTTATGTTAAAGAAACAGCCAGTATTTTAAACAGACAACTATTGGGACATAGTTTTTCAATGTTTTAACTGCTTAAATGAAAAAATTAAACATAACCTCATTTTAGAAAGTTCTGTTTTATGAGTTCAAGTTTTCTTATAGCACACTCTAAACTATTTTCTTCTTGAGACCACCAAGAAGTCCAATAAAAAGACAGTGATTGAAAAATTCACTAAGGGTGAATTATACACCAGACATTACTTAAAGATAGCAGATATTTCCAACACTTCCTTCTCCTAACCCACCTTGAAATTTGGAAACTATAATGTGCTGAACATAAGTTAAATTAATGTTGAAAACATTCGAGGTATTCTTTAATCAGAAAACTTCTATTTTTTATGCATCATGTTCTGATATGCTATTTTCAAAAGACGTCTTGAGTGTGGTTTGGAAGGAGCCAGAATTTTATTCCTTGCATCACTTCTTTGGACAAAGTATTACTGCATGGCCTGAGGTGATCATCTCCCTCCTGCAAGTGACATTTCTGGCACCTGGCACTAATTAGCTACTTTGCACAGAATCCCAGTTAATTATTACTGAGCATCATGTTTTCCATTGCTCCGTATGCTTTGATTAAATGATAAGTAAAAAATTCATTCAGTGTCTCTTGTATTTTCCAATAGCATTTCCATAATTCCAAAATTTGAGTTTACCTAATGCTAATTTTTAAAGTAAAACTTAAATATAAATTATTTTTCATTCTGGTTCAGTTTTTG